AAAGTGAGTACTTTTGCCATCTCTGGTTACCCCTGCTCTACAGGAGCCATGGCCCCTGATGGGCCCCCGTCTAGATCCGGCCCTGTCTGCAGCAGACCGGGATGTGGGGTCTTACCTAAGCGCAGCGCCTCGGTGGCCATGCGTAAAGCTTCCGTGAACTCGCTGGCTCTCAGCTTCTCCTGGATTTGGCCCTTCATCCTGGTCTCTTGGGGCCAACACTTCTCAGCAATCCCGATGAGCAGGACGTTGTTCTTGGTGCTCCTCACCTCCTTCTGCTTCAGCCTCTCTTTGCACAGCGGGCATTTGGAGGGGAGGGAACCCGCCGCGCACCTCCGGCAGAACGTGTGTCCGCACGGCACGGTCACCGGCTCGCAGATCGGGAAGAGGCAGTGCGGACACTCCATCAGATCCATCACCACAACCAGGCGTTAAAAACAGGCTGCAGGGGGGGGGGGACTTTTCAGCTTCTAACGTCAAAGTGAACCCAGAAGGAGAGGATGGGGGGTTATTATTGCACAAAGCTTTCCAGTAACATACCGATGAGCGGCGGCTGATCGGTTGCTGCGCCTCCCTCCTAAAGCTCACCTTCACTCCTAGATCCAAAGCTTTTCATTCACATTGTCTTTTGGAGCCTTTAGAGAGTCTTTGGTTCGGATCCAGCAGCATCTTTCCTTCCTCGGACACTTTAAACGGACTGAGTGACGCGCAGCCGTCGGTCTGTGCGCTCCAAGCCGCGCGCTCCGCACCGAACTGCGCTCCAGCGGAACCGATCAAAGCGCACATTGATGTTTGTTTCCCCCCTAATCAGGTGTCTCTGTCCGTTTATAACCTCTGGAGCGACGTTTCCGAAGCCACGAAGCTCAGTTACTATGTAACCCCATTACGTTACATAAATAAAGAGTCACGTGACGCGGCGGCGGGCTCTGTGATTGGTGGAGAGGAGCCGCTGTCAGCCCTGTTGTGAAACCCAAGGATCCCGTGTTTCATAACCCCTTTTTCTTGCGACTAAAGTCCTTTTTAATTCGCCATACTGTAAACATCTATTATATAAAATTAGAATATCGCATTTAGAGCAATATCTGGTTTTCTTAAATGGAAAATATTTAGCGTGGATCCATAAACTTGGCAGTGAAGGGAATCCCAGCCGAGGATCATGACATCCAGGGGGCGTGGTGGCTCATCCTGACTGAAACAAACTGCTTTGAACCCTGAAGATTGAATAAATCTTTATTGAAAAGAGAAAAACATCTATGATTCACACGGTGCTTTGCTTGTAGAGCTATAATCATTAGATCTGCAGAAATGGGACTGAGTTCCCTCCATCCAGGAGAGCAGACTGTGAACATCTCTGCAGAAGCAAACAGACAATAAACTGTTCAAGTTAGCTCTATTTCCAGTGGCGGTTCTAAAGCAAGTGCACCAGAGGGCCAGCAGGGGGCCAGTGTGTTTTCATGGGGGAACAGAAAACCATGAAATAAAAAAAAATAAAAACAGTGCAAGAGATTTAAATATGTATATATATATATAGATAAATGCATGAAGTGAAATTTCTATTTTATTAGGTTTATTTAAAATTGTTTGTCTTATTAGGTCAATATATATTCAGAATTTATGAATTTTAC